TAATGGAGAAGAATGTGTGCAAACCCCTCCAGGGAATCCACTCTTGCAGAGGCATATGGACTCTTCCGCTTATCTGCTCCCGCTTTGGGGCTTTTGCGACTGCTGAGACTGGCCACAATTAAGCTAAAAGGCTCTGAGTCCAGCCAAGGCCCAGTGCATTCTCACCAGCAGGGGTTTGGGAGCCATTTCACTACAGTGCTCTGCTACGTTTTGGAACCACATGGGGTGTGGTGGGTGTGGGATGGTGCAATTTTATACTCTTTATTAATCTGATCAAAGGGGAGAGGGAGTATGTGGAAACATGATTGGCTCCATCACGGTCACCTTCACATGCATGCCAAGCCCTCTTGGTGGTACTCTCCTACATGGCTGCATTGTGTATGTGTGCATGCCAATGTCACATGGTTCAAAGCACATATGACAGAGGCCCACCTGTTTCCACCTTTTGACAAATGGTGGGTCCAAATAAAAGGGAACCTGTGTAGTGTGGTGGAGTGGTTAATAAGGGCAGGACTAGGAAAACTGGGTTCAAATCTCCATTTAGTCATGAATTTCATGAGATGCCTTTGGCTCTTCAGTTTCTCTAAGCCTAACTTGACTTGCGGGATTGTTTTGGGGATAAAACAGGGGAGGGGAGAACCATTTAGAAACAAGGGATTGAAAAATTCGCTCTTTTCTATATGAGACTTTAACACTTAAAAAACAAAGCACAATATATATATATAGAATTGTATGTGCCCATGCTACAACATGACTAAGAGACAGTAACTAGAATAATGGGTTTTGAATTTAAATGAATGTGCCATTTCTATTCAATTCAGAGCACATTATACCCATCTGGGTCCCAAAACTGGTATGCTTCATCAAAAGAGTAAAAAAGATTAGCTAATGTCCAAGGCAGATATTGAGTTTAACTTGCCTTTACAAGATGCCTTGTGGTCTCATGGAATGGGGTGTAAGTATGCTCTTTGGCGGAAAGCTCTGAAAGAAGTAGGGCCAGTGTCATGGCCAATGGTACTACTTAAACATATCAAATCTGGTTTCCTAAAGCCAAATCCAAGGCCCGTTTTAGGGCTTAGATAGATAAAGCACTGAGAGTTCTGGGGACAGGATTTGCCGCCCATCTAAGAATCAGGCAAATAAGGGCCCAATTCAGATCAGAACTGTAGTACACTTTTCCCATCCTGAAATGGCCCTGAAGTGAGTCACTAGTTGCACTTTGGGGGCAAACAAATACCCTTGTATGTTTCCACACTGGGGCAAATAATGACTCTCCGTGACGATTTCAGTTCAGGCAAGTGGCACAGGTGCCAGTCTCCAGCTGGGGCCTGGAGATCTCCTGGAATTACAACTGATCTCCAGGCTACAGAGACCAGTTCCTCTGGAGAAAATGGCTGCTTTGTGCGGTGGACTCCATGGCATTCTAATCTGCTGGGGTCCATCCGCTCTCTAGACTCCATCCCCAAATCTCCAGGAATTTCTCCACCTGGAGTTGGCAGCCCTACCTTGCATTGTGTTCTTGACCTAGATCTGGCCTAATGCACATCTGGCTTTCAGAGGGATAAATACTAGGAGCTCCATTCATAGAATTCCCAGCCTTTAGTTCATTTAAGCCCTTTGAAAATATCGGGTCAAAGCTTGTTTCACAGTGTTCTCTCCACTGTGTTCAGTGGTAGCCTTCGAAGCCTGTCTCATTGATCTGACAGCATAACCTGAACCACTGTAATCTCAGGTTTCTTGGCCTCTAATACAGAGGCCACAGTACTGAATGTGTCAAGGGAGCCTGTCAATGAACTGAACATTCTTACCAGCCAAGTCATGGATCAGAATGAGCAAGGATGGACTTTCACTAACATATCCCCAGTGCTTTTGGAAGAAGAAAAGGTAATGAGGAATATCATGAATGCACAGTTTCACAAGAAACATCCTTTCTTTAAAACACTGAAATATTAATCCAGCCAACATCACCCCCCACCCACATTCCCAGTTCTGATGGACTCTCAAAATTCATGGATTAGGGACAACGTTACACCCTTTTGTCTCTCGCCCTCGTCTGTGAATAAAAATGCTGATCCTCCATGGGGAAAAAAGGGCATTTGTCCTTGATTATTAGCATATGCGTTAGAATGAGACAGACCGTCTGGTCTCTTGGTTCTAAAACATTTTCTGGGAGAATGGTTTAATGATGCAATATGTCACTGGAATGTAGGCACAGAGCTGCTGTACAAAAGAAAGTGCTTGGGGGAGGGGGAGTGTTTGATAAGAAGAAAAACTTGTTAAGATTGCAGAAAAAGGGGAGTGATTGAAAAAAGAATATGCCATTTTTGTTTGTTAGGCACCCCTTTCAAGCTCAATTAGACAATACAGAAAAGAGATGTGTAATTAAATGAGGCTGCTAAGAATGTTCGTCGCTCAAACAACCATTGCCTCCTGAATAGGCATTTCTCTCTTACTGAGATGGCATACATGGTTCACAAATATTGTTGTACGCACACTAAAGTCAAAGTCAGGAATGGGTCCTGAATGCTGCTCACAAAAGAAGAGTTAATCCTTAAGAATAAGCATATTGTTTGCAAATTCTAAAACAAAGACTCTGACTTCATTAAAACTTTATTATTATTGAGGAACACAAGAGACAGCAGTAGATAATTTTCTAAAAGATTCTCTAGAGCTCATCATTACAAGATCCTAAGAATGCTACATAACTAACTTGGTCTGAAGCCACCAAAGGTTGCAACTACAATGTGCAGCCATTGGCACCTGCTGGCCAATTCCCTGACTGGAGATGACACAGAAATCATGGGATGGAATGTCTAAATCTAAAATGACTGAATCCAAAAAAAGACTGTCGTTTTTAGATAAAACCAGTATAGGTCAGTGATTCAGAAACCATTCTGTGTTTATTCCACATTTAGCTGCATGGATGAAATCACAATGAAACTGTCCAATTACCTTACCCGTTTCAAGACTCTGAAAGCTTTACATGTAGATGTGATCTCCAAAACATTGAACGATTTACTACAGTTCCTTTAAGAAAGCTGTAAATTATATTACTGGACTACTGAGTGAATGGACATTTGTGGCAAATGGTTAGGTGCAAGTTGGGAGAGAAATGGATGTACCCATCTGGAAGTGTCTTTGGAATGTTTCCTGCAGCCAGTACCTGGACTGAATGGGGAAGCAGCTTTTCTGATCCGACTAGATTGCCTCTTTTGCAGTAGTTGGGGGGGGGGGGAGGAAGAGTTCGAAGCACTTCCAGAAGTACATGCACTTCTCTCTTGTCTGCAAATGCACCTGTCTGAGATTGCAACCAACGGCAGAAGTAGACATTCTACAGCTACTGCTAAGACCCACAGCCCTTCGTCACTTTCTCCGTGCAGAAAATCAAAATATGTAATGTGATGACATCTTGCTTTGAGTTTTCCATCTTATTTGTGGTCTCTCTTGGGAGTGGGTTTACTCCAAGCACGATGATGTCACTCATGCATTCATATTTATTATTTTGGGGATGAAAGAGAAAGAGAAAGAGAACCATGGGTGGCAAGTTTGGGTGGCAACCATGTGAGCCTGGCATTATGTGCATACATGAACCTACACAGAGACTTGGTGTTTCCATACTCCTCCTCCATCTTGACCTCAATCAAAACCAGAGGCCAGTTCATGACACGTCCAGCCTGCCAGCAGAACAGGCAAAATGAAAAACATCTTCCAGACATTAATATTTACCAGCTAGTAAAATTATGAACACCTGCAATGCTAATCACTGAACAGGCGACTCCAGAATATGTAATCTTCTTGGAATCATCTGGTCAGAGGAAACGTAAAGAGAAGGATCATAGGGAAGGGACACAGGACGCTGCGGGACACAGAGACACAATCCACCTAGGTAGCCAGATGATTTAGAGAATGGTTATTCTGATGGTAATCATAATCAAGAACTTCTGCTGGCCTGGACCCACATTTTCTTAGACTTGCAACCACAGCCGGACCCAAAAGGAAGAGAATCTAACCTTAAACAACTCTAACCTCCCCCCAAATAACAGTAATAATGACAATAATATATATTTTTTAAAATCATCAGTTGTTGTACCATATATGGAAGCTCATGCAAAACATGGGAAGCTTACCAGGTAAGAATTGAGGCAGTAGTGGGAAACATACAAGAGAAAGCATTACAGAATATCAGTTATTACGCTGTATGGGGAAAAGAGGGTTTAATGGCATACACCAGACCAACAGTTTCTTATGAGACAATTTCCTTATTATTCTAGTGAATAAGCAAGCATGTTTTCACCCATTACCTTGTTACCATTTCTGAAAAACAGAAGGAAACATTCCACTCAATCTCTGGCTCTATGGCATGCAGAGTACTTCTCCAAAATGCAACCAGGCGTGCAAGACATACATACATCTTACTCTGCTTCGCCAAACTACATCTTTTTATAAGCAATTCTTTAAAAAAAGAACAGCAATATGCAAAAGCTTTATGAAGTGCAAAAAGTATCAGAGGATCCCGTTTTAAGTGCTATATAATGTTTATTCCCAGCTCAGTGCAACTTTCAAAATGCTAACAGTGGAAGGAGACGGTTTGTTGGAAAGGGAGAAACCAGGGAGGGGAATCAGATGCCACTGAAGGAAAGCAAGCGGTTTTTGGCAGCCAGGAGGCAGTGTAATGATGAGAATGGACAGAAATAAAAATTCTGCTTGAAGGGAAAAAATGGCATTGTGGCTATCATATTTCAATTTTTTCCTAATATCGGAATGCAGTGCTTGGCCTATTGTATACAGTGGCCCATGGTCGACTCTATGACAATAATATATACAAGCAAGGGGCACGGGTGGACATGAAGCACGGGTGGCTTCTGGCATCCAGTTGCATTATATTAACACAGGCCAAAGAACAGACAAGACAATCGAAAGGACAGGCACATTCTCTCAAAAATAAATAAATAAAAAATGGAAAACGGATAAAACAAACATGGATCTCGTGGCGCACAAACCTTCGGGTTCTGTGTTCTCTTTGAGGTGCACTTGCTTCAGAGGGCAGCAGAAGATTTCGTGGCATTTAGCACGAAAGGGGGACTCTTTTTTCTTTAATTCCGTAGATTGGATGGAATCTTGCCGTAACATAATATACTCCTGTGTGCCAGGGGGAGCGTCATCCATAACTGTGGTCACCACATAACAAAATGAACTTAAGTTAGAACGAAAGAGAAAACAAAAACAAAAAGAAACAAAGAAAAAAAATCTAGAGAAGTAAATCAACTCTACAATGATACGGGGAAGGGAGGGAGGGAGGGAGAAGGGAGGAAAAACATTGGTAGAGAGGAAAAGAAAAATCGAATTAATGTACTCTGGTTACAATGATAGAGGCGGTGGAAGGAGAGGGGGTCGGTGGGTATCTTACTTTTATATTTAAAGGCTTACATTAATATTTCTAGCAATTGTTTAGGGTGGTTTATGTTAAGACAGCTCGTTTACTTTAAAACGTTTACTCCAGAAAAAATAATAAATACAAAACATATAACAATTTGCTGCATTTCCTCTAACACAGGGCTACATTTTTGCATGCAGGCTACAAACGATGAGACAAATTATCATGAATCTTTGGGGACGGTCAGATTTGCTGCGTTCACATTGAGTAGGACTTCAGAAGAGCGATGCTTAGAACACCACACAGTCCCAGGCTGTATCAACGCCTCCCACAGCTGCTTTTTGCAGCTCCGTTACTCATCTGGGGATCTGATCACGGATTTCCAGGGTTACGTGTCGTTAGAGCCAAAGGTGGTCAATCAGGCTTATGGACAGTTCATATCGCACACAGGCATTCATATGAAGAAATACTCCTATGCAGAAAACTAGAACACATTCATTTTCTATGGAGATAGAACTCTTTTGCAAGGAGAAGCAATCCAGCAGGTGATCACCTCCCTATAGTCAGAAATGGTTCATGCAGACACAAGGATACAACCTCAGTAAAGGAACTAGTTTCAGGGGGAGGGTCTCCTGTCTCAGTCACAATGCATGGGGCGGGGGACATATGAGAGAATGCTCCTCACTCCTTCCCTTTCTCCACACCAGATGCTCATGAATGCAAGACACTACAGGGATAATTTGGGGGGGGCTAGAAGAAAGCTGTGTGTCTTCTCAATAGTTCCTTTCTAGCTTAAAACATAGGCAACTGTTTTAGAGGCTATGTACAATCAGTCAAGGATCACGATCCTATAAAGGACACTTCATCATCGACTTTTGCATGCCTCCAACCATACCCTGAGATTCCTTTGCTGTGTTTGGTAACAGGCACCATCAGGGTTGCCCATTAACACTCTTACAAACATGCCCTTTCAAGCAACACATAAAAAAGAAAACAGCTTTGAAAACAAAGTTTTGTGGACTCGGGTTATGAAGCCATTGCTCTCAGTACTAACTGCAACACCCAGCTTTATTTAAAGAGAATTTATCAAGAAGCCAGGGTTAGTATCATTAAGCATTCGGACAGCTTCATAGCAATAACTGCCTGTAGGAAGGAGCTGGAGGTTGTCATCCAAGCTAATAATTTTCCCCCTGCAAAATGTCGTGTAAAAATTGGTACTACACAGACCTTGCGCAATAGAAAAGGCAAGTAAATATGTCTCTTTGTCATTATCCCAACAAAACTACTGCACTTCCTATGACATTTGCAAAGGTAAGATTCTTGTTGTTTGTTGGTTCTGTTCCTGTTTCCTGTTTTTGCACGCAAAACCCTCCCAACTTTTCTCCATGGAGAGTTACACATTTCTGAATACTGCTAGTATCATGTGTTTGGAGCCATCATTGCAAATATCCAAATTTTCAAAGCTCTGCATGGCTATTTGCCATTGTGCAGGGCTATTGCCCATCAGTCCTCTGTTTAAGACCAGGGCATTTTCCTTAGCTGCACCAGTATGGTGGAATTAGCTCCCGAATGAAATCCGCGCTCTGCGGGATCTCCACCAATTCCGCAGAGCGGTAAAGACTGGGCTATTCCGCCAAGCATTTAACAGCCCAGATCAAACACTCTAGCACTTTATATGGACGGCCGCCATGTGCAAACTGTAATGCTCTAATTGTAATTTTATTGTTAATAAGTTATATTGGCTGTTTTATTGACTATTTTTAGATGTACTGCATTAATCTTTACTGGTTTTTAATTGTTGTAAGCCGCCCTGAGCCGCTTCGGCGGGAGGGCGGGATAAAAATCTAATAAATAAATAAATAAATAAATAAATAAATAAATAAATAAATAAGACACAGAAATTCCCACCTAGTGGTTGCCCAGAAGTTCCCAGTTTATCACAGACAATTCCTGATAGCTATTTCCACTTTTCACTTTATACTGAGATTATTACCTACACACACATTATCCATCAACTCCCTGTTTATGACACAGACAATCCTGGCTAGCTATTTCACACTATGCCTGACTATTGCCAATCAGCTTCCCATTCATAGCACAGACAGTCGCAGATATCAGTTCCACTTCAAAGAAATCCATAAATATTCACTACAGACAGTAATGAATAGTAGTAACATATAGTAGTAATGGTGTTTTAACTTAAAATATAAACTGGTCTGGCATAAATAGTATATTAATTTTATAAGATAATATTGTTACAATCATGGTATTTATTTATCCAAACTGTCTTTTTGTACATAATTTCTTTAACTTTTAATGTAAATTTGTATCAATTTTTAATTGAAATTTATGTAAGTGTAATATCTTGTCTTGTGTTGAAACTAGTCTATGACTGTAATAAAGGATACTACTACTACTACATCATTCCCTTCTGGTCCCCATTTCTAGAAAGTCATTTCTGTTCCCTGCTCATCCACATACTTGGTTTCTGTGAACTGCTCTTGGAGACACTTGAGTGTGCTTGGTCCTCATCATGCCTCTAGATTAACTTTTATTAATCACAACAGCAGAACTGAGCAACTCCCACCACAAACAGGTACAAGTATTAAATCCAACTTGGGGAATGATCTAGGGAAAGTCTTTTTCCTGACTGAGGCTTGGACAACTGCTGCCAGTCAGAGAGAGCAACGTTGACCAAGATAGAGAAAGGGTGTGGTAGCTTTACATGCTTAGCTGATTATTTTTTAAGCTGAAATGTGTTCAGTCAAGGCCACAGCGATCTAGGAGGGAAGCAAGGATTTAGCTAACCATCTTGGTTTCAATAGCTCCAACTTTCCCACTGTGGCTGCCCAATTCGCTAAAGACCATTTAATGCTGAACAGGTGCTTGAACCTAGGTTGTCTAAGTGACAGTCCTCAAATGGGATATCTGACTGAAAGGACAGTGTGCATATGTGCAAATATACACACAGTAAGGAGCTGCGGTGGCTCAGGTGGTTAAGACGCTGAACTGCAGGCTATGGAAGGTCGGTAGTTCAGCAGTTTGAGACCTGGGTGCCGGATGACGGAGTGAGCTCCCGTCTCTAGTTCCAGCTCCTGCCAACCTAGCAGTTCGAAAGCAAGAAACTGCAAATAGATAAATAGGTACCACTTCAGTGGGAAGGTAACAGCGTTCCGTGTGCCTTGGTGTTTAGTCATGCCAGCCACATGACCACGGAAACGTCTTCGGACAGCGCTGGCTCTTCGGCTTTGAAACGGAGATGAGCACCGCAACCCTAGAGTTGGATTCGACTGGCTTTTGAGCAAGGGAACCTTTACCTTTAAGGCTTATGTAGTCCCAAGGGCATGACAAAAAATGCCCTAGTTATTTGTCCATTTGGAGTCATAGTCCATTCTGAAAACAGAATGAATTCTGGAAATATTCTGTTCCTATGCTCAACAAAACATAGTATCCTGGTGGACCGCCTGGCCAGAAGGAGCCTGGGATCATTGGTGCTGTATTGGTTCCTTTCCTGCCTTGAAGTCAGCTTCCAGAAGGTGGTGCTGGGCACCTTTTGTCCAGTTTCTTGGCCATTTATGTATGGGGTACACCAGTCTTGCCCCTCATACTATTAACATCTAGATTGAGCCACTGGGGGAAATCATGCAGAAATTTTAGACACAGAGACATTAGTACGCTGATGACATATGCCTCTATCTTTTCCAGCAAAATCCAGGGAAATAGCTGACCTGAATGTTTCTTGGCCACATAGAATACTTAATGGGTGGAGAGGGAGTTTTTAAGCTAACTTACGAAATAATAAAATTGTTTTTATGTTTAGCTACACTACGCATTCAGAATCGGAAGAACCATTTTTCAGGATAACTCTGTTGGGCAACAGCAATATTGAATATTCCCATGAAAATCAGCACATCTGGGAAACATCCTATATTAAGGATAGGCATGAACCAGGAAAATGTGGTTCATAGTAGTTCGTGGTTCATGGCATGCCCAGTTCATGAGCCATGAACCAGCATGAACTTTTAGGTATGTGGAGTGTTAGAACAGCCTCCCCCAGCATTCTAGAGGCACCAAACTTGCAAGGGATCTCCAGCTGACTGTCCTTTACCTGCCCTCCAAGTTTGGACAGGATTGGATTTACGGAGTCTAATTTATGGCTCCCCAAAAGTTTGGTCAGGATTGGATTTATGGAGTCTAATTTATGGCTCCCCAAGAAGGCAGCCCATGCTCCTTTGTTTCCAATGTGAAAAAAACAGCAAAAATAGCAAGGGCAATAGAAGCCCAGCAGAACAAAATCAAAGTCTCTGAGAATCTCTGCAGTAGAAATGGAAGGCGGGTGGCATTTTGCAAGCTATGGCAGTGCAAACCCAACAGGACTAAGGTCAAACAAGAGAATCTCTGCAGCAGAAACTGAATGCCCAGCAGAACCCAGTGCCACTAGCATTGCAAGTTTAAAAGAACTGATCTCAAAGCACAGAGTCACAAAAAATCCAAGCAAGCGTACAAAATCTGTTCAAGAAAATGGGAAGAGATTACAAAGGAACACTGGCAAAGGGGAGGGGACCCTCTTGACGCTGACAAGACTGGTTTGAAACTGACAAGCATGTTTTCAAGTCTGAATAATTCTGCCCCCCTGTCGCTTTGAAGTTTGGTAAATATTTTGTTTGAGTGGATACAATCTCTCTAGAAAGGTATCAATTCACAAACCTGCATGAACCACCATGAGCTGCTTAAAAGTTTGCCAGTTGACCTGCCATGAACTTTACTCCACAAAAAACGAACTAGCCAAAATCA